CATTAACACATTGACCGAATACATAGAAGATCAACCTTTGAGTAATATTTCAATTTGCTGAATTAATCTGTGGATATTTAATTATAACTTCAAGTTTTCTATGGCTTAAGAGTTTACATCATTGTATAGCATCACTGACAACTATAAAATATAGATTGACGAATGGCTCTAACTTTGTTTGTAATTATATTTATATTATCTGTGTGTATTAATTATAACCGATAATTGTAACGCGTTTGATTTATCGTTTCGCAATCGACTAATGTTTTTATATAATTTACATATATTCGAATAATGGCCACGAGGGGTTGGTAATTTTTGTACAAAGGCTGGTAATTCAGTGGTAATCCAAACGAAATTTTGGGTAATCCAATGTAATTTTTGGCAAGTCTAAATAATCTTTAGTGTTCTCAGGTAATCTTGTGTAATCTAATAGGAAATCCTAAGTAATCTAAGGGTAATATCAAATAATCTGTAGGTAATTTTAGGAATTCTTAAAGTAATCTCAGATAATCTGAGGTAATCTAAGGTAATCTTTGATTTTTTAGTGAACGTCATTGATGAGCATGTTGTATTTTTTTTACAATAGTATACATTTTTAATCAATTTTTGGAGTTGACGTAAAGGAATTGCTTTTTTATAATCTAGCTCTCAGGCTGTGGATACACAAGCGTTTAAAAATTGCGAAATTGCCAAACTACTTTAAGCAAATTTCTTTGCGTTAGGAAATTTGTCTAAAGTAAATCGTTTAGTTCCTTAAAACGGAATTCTCCCTCCCGAAGTGAACAATGATTTGCATTTATTTCCCTGCTGATAATGGATACAGATGGAATAATGCCGTTCAAATTGGCATGTAAAGTTTCATAAGTCAGGCATCCACCTATTATTCAAAACAAATTTTAAAGAAGTTAAAAATAACTAAAAATACAAATATATAAAAATTACGAAATACATCTCCTTATCTACAATGAAAAGATATGTGCAAAATCTTTTAAAAGATTTTTTATATTGATTATTCTTCGAATTCGTTTTAGAATTGTTGAGAATTGCTGTCTCAAAAAGACTTCGCCGTTTCATCATACGCACACGCGACGCATTTAGCTGCCGAGAAACAATCACATATCGGAAATGCAGTCTTTCGTGTTTCGACACGTTTTCCAGTCTGTGCTTGATGTAAGTTGCGAGACGTTGCCCGCTCTGTTCCTGATACAGTTTTTGCTATTATTTTGTGGTTTTATTATCGAAATCGATCAAAATGGAAAATTCTGAACAATCATCGAGGGAATTACCCGCTGAAATCAATACGAAAAATACAGAATTGGTAAATTTTGACAGTAAATTAAAAATTTTGCCAAGTTATTTGATCGAACTGTTAAAAGAAACAGGATATTACACTGAAAGTTCTCTTCTTTCGATTCACGAAAAAGACATTGAAGAAATAGAAGCCTTTGCAAGAGAGCAACTTCATTTGTTAGTGGATAAAAAAGATTATGTCAAGTATTATGGTCCATTGTTTTCCAAAAAACCTGAAATGTTTAAAATACTAGGAGGATTTAAAAAGCAAATTTTTGAATTGTCCCAACAGTTGCAGAGAGAAACAAAAGCAGGTGATAAAAATGTAGATGATGGAAAGAAAATTAGTCATAAAAGAAAACGAGACGATTTATCTGAGGAAAACTCTGATTTAATCAAACGGACCAAGATAATAGATTTACATTTAGAAATGGAAAAAATTAAAAAATTTATACTGGACTGGATAGAGCAAAAAATAAGTAAGACATCAGATACGAATGAAAATTATTTATTGGAAAAAGCAAAAAATATGAAAATTAAAGTTGAAGCTGGGGATGAAAACCTTATTTTTTCTACTAATTTCTGTTTCAAAATTTAGAAGTTTTTAAGTGGCCGCGAAAAGATGACATTCAAGAAGTTGAGAGTAGATATATATTTTATGGCCCTATTAATATGCAGGGTGTTAATCCTTTAACTATTTCTCAATCTGATAGAAAACTGATTATAAAACAATTCAAAAAAATTAAAAAAAGGTTTTAGTTACATCAGGACTTTAATAATTTTTAAGTACATACACAAAAGTTTTAAGATATTTGTTTTACAAATGTATCTTTTTATTTATACTTAACTTGATTAGACGCAAAATTTTTAATTTAACATTAAGTTGTGATAACAAAGTGTCTAACAAAGAGTCCGTATTACTGTTGTCTTTTTAAATATTTTTTATTTTATAAAATACCTATTAATATTTATTATGTGCTAACTTCACAGAGATTTAATATTTATATTCAATTGGATATTGTTTTGTTAGTATTAAAAAATCTCAAACGTTATGAGTAGTCGAACTTCTCACTATGTATACACATAATACATATTCTTTTTGTAAAATTTATATATTTTTGTGTTCCTGTATGCAATAAATATTTGTTTTGTAAAATTGCGTTTTTTTTAAGCAGTGAAAATCGATCTGAAGAAATAATACTTTAGCTACTCGTATAAGGTAATCTCAGATGAACAAAGTAAATTTGGAAAAATCTCAGATAATCTCAGGTAATCTCAGAAAATATGACGTAATTTTTAATACTCTAAGGTAATCTTGGGTAATATGAGGTAGTATTTGATAATCTGAGGTAGTATTAGATAATCTTAAGTAATCCAAGGTAATTTAAAGGTAATCCGTATCAAGGGTAATTTTTGTACACCATAATCGCTCGTGACCAACCCCTCGAATGGCCATATCTTGGATAAAACGTTTATGATTTTATGTTTTAACAATGATGTTTTAAATATATGACTTTCGCTACTGACATCCTGCGTGTGGCTATCTGCTTCCTTATTTATTGTATTATATATAACTATTTCTTTTTAAGTACAACAAATGTACATTAATTCAGCTACAAAGAACAGCTATAACAACTTCCATCCTTTTTAACTATATTTTTTCACATTTTGCCCTTAGTGAATATTTTTCTCAGAATTTTTAATATAATTTTTTAGAATTTTTGTATATATTTCAGAATTTTTCAAAAATTCTGAATAATTTTGTAACTTTTTAAAAAATTTACCAGATTTTTTTTTGAAAAATCAAATTGAAATACTTTTTAGATGTGTCAAGAAAATCTATTTTCTTTTAGAAATGTAAATTTTGAAACGTTTTAAAATTTCTCATTTCATAATTTCTATAATGAAATCTATAAAATCCGAAAAAGAGCTCAAGATATTTTTTCGGAAATTATAAAATGAGGAATCTTAAAAATTTTAGAATATTTCAGAATTTTCACATATATGAAAAATTTTAAGAAAAGCTATACTGTAGGTACACACACACACACACACACACACACACACACACACACACACACACAAGAGGGGGTAATGTTCGTAGTAACAAAAACTCTTGAGGCACCATAGTTTTATTTTCTACGGATTGGTAATATTTACAAGTAGTAATCCGTTAGTTTGCGCCGATATCATGGTCGATCGAGTGTAAAAGTAGTGTAATTACATGATAATTCGTGAACTGTTCGCGAACTGTCTTCGCGGCTGTCATCGCGGAGGTTTCGTGTTCTGACAGTTATGTGTATCAAGAGGTTAATAACGTCTTCGAGATTACTCAGATAAGTTTCATTAAATATTTTCATTACAAAACCTTTATTCTTACTATTTCATTAAAAATCGATACTTTGTGTTATATATTTTATTTTCAGTTATTGGTTTTCGGTCTAACACTATCAACGGTGTTAAATTGTGTATAGAAAAGAAGGGATTGAAAAAAAAGGAAAATTAAAGGGAAAAAGAGGAAAAAGAAGAAAGAGAGAGAGGGAAAGAAAGAGATGTGGAAGGAAGTATAATCTAAATAAACCTGAATCAGTGGATAATCACTGACAGCAGTCCTAAGGGTGCCATTGGCAATGGCAATCAATTTATCATAATATTTGTAATACAATTGTATTTTATATTTTAGCGGAGCACATAAAAGTATTCAAAATGGGAAGATAGAAACATTTTTTGTATTTAGTTGATGATCGGCGCAAACTAACGGATTACTATTTGTAAATATTACCAATCCGTAGAAAATAAAACTAATATGATGCCTCAAGGGTTTTTGTTGCTACCAACATTACCCCCTCTTTTTTTTATGAAAATTGTCGTGTAATCCACTTTTTTAGTATTTTTAACAAAATATTCTAATTCGTACAAAAATTCTAAGTGTGAGAAAAATTTTCTTTGGGAGCGTATTTAAAGCAATGTGCAAAGCTACCGCTAGAAAAAAAATAGAACAAAAAGTGTGCATCTGTGAATGATAAAACTATAGGAAAAATGATGCAAAAAAAGGAAAAAATAATGTTCAACTCATTGTTGGCACATACACAGCTCTTCGTCGAGTCTTGATTTGGATTCGCCGCTCTTTCGCGGCTCCCCCGC